TATGGAAATCCATATTACACATTAATATACATCTATCTTCCAAATTCAGAGGTCGACCTGAGAGCAGCTCTGTGCATACGAAACCAGACGGGGAGGGGTTGCTGGGGAGGCCCGGGCTTCCATTGGCTGCGGGCGCCTGCCGTGGTGCGGGGGTATCTCTCATCATATTCAGCATGTTTTGCACAAGAAATGTCAGCCAGAAAGGGCTATCTGCTCCCTTCGCCAAATTATTCCACAACAATGTCATGCTCCGAGAGCCCGGCTGCAAACTCTTTTTTGGTAGACTCCCTGATCAGCTCGGGCAGAGGGGAAGCGGCGGGAGCAGGAGGCGGAGGCGGAGGCGGAGGCGGCTACTATCCCAACAGCGGGATCTACCTGCCACAGGCGTCCGATCTGTCCTACGGGCTGCAAAGCTGCGGACTTTTCCCCGTTCTGGGCAAACGCAATGAAGGTACTTCTCAAAGCATGGTCCCCAACTCGCACTCCTACGTGTCAGGGATGGAAGTGTGGCTAGATCCTCCCCGGTCCTGTCGCATGGAAGAGCCGGAGAGCCAGCAGGCCACCTCGTGCTCCTTCGCTACGAGCATTAAAGAGGAGAGCTCCTACTGCCTCTATGACTCAGAGAAATGCCCCAAGGGCTCGGCCGCCACAGACCTCGCTCCCTTCCCCCGGCTGAGTGCCGAGGTCAGCCCAGCCAGCAGCGGCGGCGGGGTCCCCGTCCCGGGCTACTTCCGCCTCTCCCAGGCTTATGGCACTTCCAAGAACTACGGCGCGGGGCCAGCCGGGGCTGCCCCTTTCCCTCCGCAGCCCCCCGGTCGCTTCCAGACGCCTCCATCTTTGCCTCCCGTCCCGGACCCGGGGAGGAAGGAGGATGAGGAACGCTCCCCAAGCCCCTTGGCGTGCGTCTCCCAGAGGGAGGACGAGACTCAGGCTTCATCTTCCACCGCAGAGGAGCTCTCTCCTGCTCCGTCAGAGAGCAGCAAAGCTTCTCCAGAGAAAGAGCCTGTAGGTAAGCAAATTATGACGGTGATGGTGGTAGTGATGATTAAAGAGAAAGAGGGAAAAAAAAAAAAAAGAAAGAAAAAAGAAAGAAATGAAAAAAAATAGTCGTTGAGGATCATAGTGGCATTGAAATGCGAAAGGAGGATCCCAGCTGCCCCTCGGGGCTGCCAAGAAGCGCTGCTCAGACTGACCTTCTGAACTTTGTAATATTCGGGCATGGGGTTGCCGTAAAAATTAATGTCCATCCTATAGTTTAAAAACCCTTACGGCCTCCTCTATGGGCAACTTTAGCCTGCATGCTGCTAAAACATATAGAAAAACAAGATCAATCTCTCCCCCGTGATGTGAAGGTGCCTAGCAGATAACAGAGATGTTTGTAAAGCATCCAAAATAAGCAATAGGCAGTGCCAATAAATAAACCTATTCACGCGGTAAGTTATATTTTACGATCCAGAATGCTTTTCGGAATAACAACCGCGCTGAAATGTGCCATCTATGAGCTGCTATCAAATTAGACTGATGAATGCACGGCGAATATCCTTCAGCATCTACACTAGATAACAGAGCTGTTATTTATACATTTCCTTATTTATTCCCCTTTCGTGTCCCCATGGCAAAAAATAACTCCCCTTCTCCGGATGGCAGACTTTGCAGGAGCTTCTCTCTGTTCGCTTTTCGGACACCCTTTTATTCCTTTCAGGAGACCCGTTGGAAAGTAGCATTTAAAGAAAAGAAAAAAAAAGAAGGGTCAGCTAAAAACTGTTAGAGAGCCAACCCCAAACCACTAACCACTCTGAGCCATCAAGGGATTGGTGTTACCTCTTTCCCAGTCAGTTCCACTGATAGAAATCACCTCAAAACGTTTTTATTATTGTTATTACTGTATTTTTTTTCGTCCCCGAAATGGTTGGAAATGAGAAGGCCATGGCGAAGCTCTCCGGAAAGGCAGGGGCTGAAGGCGGGGAGGCTCCGGCTCCCCAGCTCACCTTGTTTTCCAGCTCCGTAGCACAATTACAAAGTCCGGATCCAGAGGCTTTGTCTTTTTGGAAGCAGGTGCCTGGGGGGAAGGAAATAAGACTGCAGGCCCTTCAACTGCCCCCAGTAGCAGAGGGCTCGGAATGGCCGACAGGGAGAGGCTAGGAGCTCCTTTCGGAGGGTCGGAGATGTGCTACAGTCTGGGGCACGCTGGCCCACCAGAAGCTGTCCGGAGGTTTTTGAGCATTGGCAGTTCTTACCCGGATATATCCAAAACCTTTGGGAAACCGTTTTGAAGCCCTCGGTTCCCTCAAGGACACCCCACATTCCAGTTCTCCGCAGCTGGCGGGGTGAGCCCATCGCACACACAGACACAGACACACGCACAGACGCTCCTTCCACCCTCTCCCCACAGCTCTTTGCCTCCTACCCGATGGTAACGTCCATTTTTTACTTTCTCAAAACTAGGCAATTCAAAAGGAGAAAATGCAGCAAACTGGCTCACGGCAAAAAGTGGCAGAAAGAAACGATGCCCCTATACCAAGCATCAAACTCTCGAGCTGGAAAAGGAGTTTCTATTCAATATGTACCTGACTCGTGAGCGTCGCCTAGAGATCAGCCGCACAGTCCACCTCACAGACAGACAAGTTAAAATCTGGTTTCAGAACCGCAGAATGAAACTGAAGAAAATGAACAGAGAGAATAGGATTCGTGAGCTCACAGCCAACTTTAATTTCTCTTGATGAACCTATAAACACATCTTTATGGTTTAAAGAGCCAGTATCATTTTCCTAGGCTGTATTCATCTGCACCTGTATGGATTAACGATTTTAGGCGCTCTCAATATGTCCTTAACCTCTTAAGAGCTACTTTGGGGGGTGGGCGGACTAAAGTCACGCTAAAGCACAAAATGCCGTGTGTGAACCTCCCCTCTTCCTTCAGCCTTTCCCGGGGCCAAATTGTTCCTCTAAGCTTTGAAACACAAAAATACCATTTCAAGACGTACAAATATGTTTCTCCCTATCTGTCTCTCTGAAAAGTAAACAATCCTGGTTAAAGGTGCATTCTTTTAAAATATAAGTGCTGTAACTTGGACTGTACGTAGCTGCACAATTAAGAATTTAAGCGTTGCCATATTTCTATATATTGGGAGCTTTCCCCTTCTCTGTTTGCCTTTTCTCCCCCTCCCCCTTTTTTCCTTCGAAAAGCGGGGCTTAAAATAATGAAATGCAGGCATCCTTTAAAAGGGTTTCACGGGAACGGGTGTTAGGAGTGATTTTTTTTTTTTAAACACTTTACCTTAAAAGCCAATATTGCAGCTTTAAATTTGGCCAGGAAAATGAAATATCTTCTCTTTAAAGGTATAAAAGATTTCGTTTTACTCATGGACTAAATTATTATACTTACCTCTGAATTTCTCTCGCTGGTTGTAGATATTTACTTAATGTAGTTTTGCTTAAATATGTGAATTTGGTGATTTTCTTTTGTGTCTATATATAACGTTACCATTGGTAACGCATGACAAGCACACAGAAATTCCCCCTTTAAAAGAAAATAGTCACTTTTTTCCTCACTAATTTCACTGAAAGTATATATCCTGAACGTCAGATGGACTTTCTGAGCCAGAGTCTGAGATTGTGAGGGAGAATATGTTCGTCTTCCTTTATACTGTGAAGTTACATTCATTAAAGGGTCAAACATATAGGAGAAAAAACTTAAAAATATTAAAAAAAAAAAAAGAAGGGGGAAAGCTATAAATACAGATATGGATAAATGTCTATTATTATTAAAATGCCGATACTGTTTTAAGCAAATGCATTCTATCGTTATTATAAATGTTAGTTCTAGCTATATCTAGTTCTTACCTTAAATCGGAATAAATTAATATTGTAATGCTGCTGTGCGTGAAAAAGACGATGTTTATGTTCTCATAGAAGAATAAAAAACCCGTGGAATGAATCCTTTTAATTTTACCTCTTTTTGCAACTGTTTATCCTCAGGTTCTACTTTATGTCTTCGAGAACTTTTACAACAGGAATAGTTGCCTAAACCCCCTGCAATTACTTTAGGAATCTATTTAAATATTACCTAGACGGTCGTAATTTGTCTGGGCCATATAGCGATGGTGCTCTAAGGTTTGTCGGCTTTTGTTCAGTTTTATGACTTGCTAGTATATCTGGATTGTTGCTGTCTTGAACGAGTGGTTTCAGTTGACTGAGGAACTGCATAGACTGAGGAAGCAAATTACTATTTCTTCAGGGTAGGGAAACTATATATTTCTTCTCTCTTTTTTTTTTTTTTTTTTTTTTTTCCCTTTTGTTAATCGAACACCTACAAGTGTGCTGAGATCTTTAACTCCAGAGGACGTGAAAAAAATTCTAGCTTTATCTCAGGGCTGAGAAGAAATCGTAAAGGTGAGATCATGGGGAGGGAGGGGAACCCCAGCCTCGCCTCCCTGCCAGCGGGCCCCTCCAGACAAGGCTATTCCCTACCTGGCTGCATGTGGAAGAGCTTATTTTACACAGGCTGCCGTTTTTTTTTTTTTTTTTTAAATTTTTTTTTTTATCCTCTTTTCCTTGCTGCATGTTTAGCTAACAGGGTCTTGCACAAAGGGAACGCAAAAGGAAGGCTGGAAGAAAAGAGACAGCTAATGCTTCCTTGCAAGGGTATATGTATGCCGGGAGGAGGGGGGCACAGACTTTGAACCCGGGCTTCTTGGGAGCCGCTAGCTTTTCGTGATGTAACATTGTCGTGCACGGCCCTTTTTTCCCCGATTACATCTGCATGGAACGGCGAAAGCTGCCCGCGCGCGTGTGTGTGGGTGGTTGTTATTATATTTTACTCTTGTTTTCATTAACCCACCCGAGGCTGGCCGAGGGGCGCGGAGGGGCGCCGGCGGGGTGGGCGGGAGGGCGAGAGGGATGTTTTAGTCACGTTTCTGGTTTTATTTTCGTAGCGGGATCCTTGCGTTAAGGACCACGGCAATGGGGAGAGTAATAATTAGCGCCTGAGAACTGCTCTGTGGTTTAGGTAGTTTCATGTTGTTGGGGCTCCACCTTTCTCTCTACAGCACGAAACTGCCTTAATTACTTCAGTTGATATCATCACCAGGTATGCTTGGTGCGAGGGTCCTTTCTACTCGAAGATGTCTTAGCGCTGAAGTGAACTGTAGGCGTCAAGTCCCAATGCCATTGTTTCCCATCTGCAGCGGAGCCTCCTTTGATTCCTCAGATAAACACGGCAGCCGAGGGGGGAAGCTTGACAAGTTCTTCAAGGTTAGCTAGCTCCTAAGCGAGTCCCTGCCTGCTTGCGGGTTTTTAATATATCTCGTTGGCTGCATTCAAGGTCAGGTGCGTTTTTGCATTCCGCTCGCCGTGGGTCGAGCTCGGGGGGCCGGGGGGGAGGTGGGTGGCTGTTTAATTTCTCAATCCGGATTTATTAAAAACCGAGATACCTGAAAGCATGCCTGGAGGAGGGGGTGGGGAGAAATCAAATCTGCCTGCCCCACTCCAGGCGTCATCAAAAACAAGGGCCCGGAGCGCAGCACCCGCGGCCGGCTGGACCCACCGGCAGCGGTGGGGGTGCCCGGCCCCGCCGGCGGCTGTCGGCCCCTGTGGTGGGGTGGCCGGTGCTGCCGCAGCCTGGCGCACGGCCCCGCCGGCTCCGCGCCTCCGCCGTCGGGCCCGCTACCCCGGGGCTGCCCGGGGGCGCCGGCTGCCCCGCGGCCCGCAAGGCCTCGGTTACGATCACGATTGCAGTGCGGGCTCTCCGCGGCGGCGGAACGGGCAACAGCGACCTCTCCGGGCCCGCTGCCGTCGCCGCCGCCGCCGCCGCCTTTTGTGTTCGCAGCGGGACCGCGGGCGATGGGCGGGATCCCGCCGGGCCCTCCGCCAGCAGCCAGCGCCGCCGCGGCCGCGGAGCGGGGCACCCTTCGCGGAGGAAAGGAGGGCGGGGAAAAAGACAGAAAACTCAGTCGTTGCTCGTTTATTTCTATTTATTTTTTAGCTGTCGTGATTATGTTTGCCTTAATAAAATAACAATAGTAAAACCTAAGAACTTTTTCAAAACTTCAGGCTGGGTTGCAGGAACTCAGATGAGTTTGGATAGCGGAATTCAGACATACTCAGAAAAGCAGTCGTCCCCGGCCGGGACAGGAGCAGAGCTCTGCATTGCAGTCAAATTTGAATGCTTGTGTTTGCCTCTCCGCACAAGGTCTGTCGGGCTATCTGCAGTGTCTGTGTACATTTCGGGGAGTGTATTTACAGTGCCTGTGTCTGTGTGTGCCAATATAGCGTCTTTTGCCTCTGCCCTTTTGCTTCCCAGTTGAGTCGCCTCATCCTGATTTTGGACTGCTTCCTCTCAATTCTGAATCATTTTTTCTCTTCATTGTGCCAAAACCCCTCCGTGGCTTCGTACCACGACTGTTTCCGTGAGAGAGGTCTGCAGTGGCAGGAAACCCTGGGAAAGGCGATCCTGAACTTCCAGTTCAGGAGAGATCGCCAACGCCCGCGAATTCCTGCCCCGCGCCCGTGTATGCTCAGCGCCTCCGCGGTATGTGGCGAATGAAGCAGATGCCCCCCAGCCCCCGCTTAAAAACCGACGGGATCCTTCCTGACGCAGCCGGCTGTTGGAGCTAGCGGAATGGGAGCGCTGCTTGTTCGGTTATGTTGGGATGGAGGACAAGGAGTACTTTTATTCGAACAAGATCGCTCCGACAGTGCTTCATTCCTAGGAATTCTGGTTGCATATAGCATTTTAATGTCAACGTCTGTTTCTGCCCTGTTTGGGGTCTTTTGCCCCCGAAGGTGTAAGTCACCAAAACCTTAAGTAATTCGCAAAATAAATTGAAGAAGAGAAATCGCCTACGTGGTTCATATGAAAAATGTACTTTGGGTGAAAATTGATCTAAAACGGCGATAAGAGAGTCGAACATCCCAGTGTAAATATTAGCAACGTCACCGCGTGAAAAATATCTAATTATTTGCTGTATTTCTCCTCTTACTTTCTGTACAACCTCTCCTGCCTCTTGGATGCTGGCAGTGAACAAATGCGGAATTTTACAGGGGAAATAAAAATTCAGTCACGTTATTTTAAACGCTATTGTTATTGTTATTCATTTGTTATTAGTTTTGGTGAGGAACCAAAAAAATAAAACCCGCTGCTAAAGTTGAGAACCCAAATTCGAATATAAACATCCAGGACTCCTGCAGCTAAGATTATTTTTTCTGAATGGAAAAAGGAAGTTCTACAATCACATTTCACCACAGCTGACTCTTAATAATAAATACAAATGACGTGGAGTTCCGTCTTTCCAGGAAAGAAATACAATTATTTTTTTCTATTACGGAGTGTCTATACAATGGGAGAAAGAAAAAAAAAACCGAGAGAGATTTATTTGCATTTTTAAAATTGTTAGAAAATAACGGGCCTCTTGTTTATTGAGATCTTGCAACTGTTCCACGATTTTCGAACTCTAATGGGGGATAATAGTTTCATTGTGAGCCTTTGTAATTTTGAATGTAGGAGAGAGCGGTGTTAAAATAGGACCTCTGTAGGATTTCGGATTAAACTGTTGAGAAGACATGAAAAGAAAAAGAAAGAAGGAGAGCGAGAGAGAGAGGGAGAGAGACAGCCCACATAGCGATGTAAAACTAATTAGAACCACACTTTCGTATGCACAATATTTACACGCGATTTTAATCATTACTCAGTCGTCCCTACCATTTGCTGGGCTCTATTTTCAATATAAGATATTTCGAGTAAATTGAGCCTCTCACGGAGATTTTTTGTGCCCCCTGCATCTTAGTGACCGCGCTCCTTCGCCAGCCACGGGGATAAACAGCGTGAATGTCCGCCAGGGAGAAACCAGGGAGTCGCAGGCACGTTTGCCAAGAGCTCAGCCACTACTTTAATTCCTAACACTGGACTTGGATCTGGCCGCCTCTTACTTTCCCCCGCGCACCCTCCCCTCCTTCTGCTGAGGATTGTAACCCTCCGCTCGGCTTCCGATGCCGCTAGCGTGTGTCCCGCAGTCACAGGAGGTGCCAGCAAATAAATAACTATATTTGCACATAAATTTGATTCACCAGAATGCCGGACGGCCGACTGCGAACGCCCCTTTGATAGCCGCCTGGAGAAGCAGGGTGCCTTTCGGCAGAGGGGAGACCGGGCATTTTCTCCCCTTTCCCCCCGCTGCTTCCCTGCATAGTTGAAGAATTAATTGTGGTGATAAATACCGCCGCCCGGCTCTGCCCGCACTCCTTCCCTCCCGGCCAGGACGGCGGCTCCCCTCCGGCCGCCGCCGCACCGCCGCCCAGCCCCGGCTCCTCTCCCCGGCCTGGCGAAGGGGTCCCCGGTCCAAGGGCAGGGGCAGCGGGGAGGACGAGGAGGGTGTTTCGGTCACTGCCGCGCTGTGCCCGGCGGGGTGGTGTGGTGAAGTGCAGTTTGGTGCCGAGCAGGCTAAATACCGAGCCAGTGCCTGCCCCCGTCCTCCGGCCGGGCGGGGAGGGCCGGCTCTGCGCCGGGGTTTCGGAGAGGGGATGCGTTGAATTTGACTTTCCGCTGCCAGCGCTGAGCCGAACGGAACGGTATTATTTACAGTGGGTTCCCAAACTAAACACAATAGTATAATTTAACCTTTCCAAGCACTCGTAAATTTTTACTGCTGTGAAACACAACGATGCAAATGAGCGCGCTCATAGTTACTGACTTAATAACAACCCCGTGGCTCCCGAAACAATAACTCCTTATGAAATATAATAAATGTATATTTAAATACAGTATACCGCAACTACTATTTTGCTCTTTTTATTGCTTCAGTTATTGTATCATTTTATGTGAAGGTCTCCGATCACAAGGGTGGCGGGATTTTTTTTCCCGGAGAACACGACCCTATGATGGGATGATTAATTTTGATATAAAATAGTCCGCTTAAACGAAAAAAAAAATAAAAAGAAAGAAAAAAGAGAGAGGGGAGAGAGAGAGGAAGAGAGAGAGAAAGAGGGGAGGGGGGCTGTAATACGGAATCCGATCTTTTAATCTCAGTTGGCCGCAATTAAAACAAACCCCGCCGTATAACTCAAATATCCCTTTGCATAAAAACATATGGCCTCGCTATAAAAATTATGGCTGGAAAACACTGACCCATTAATAGCCCGCGGACTGATTTATACTTTATTGTTCTGCTCCCCCGCCACGTGACAGGCGCAGCCAATGGGCGCCTGCGCTGCCCTCAACTTATTACTGACTCTACTTCTCCGCCAGCACCAAGTTGTTACGTGAAACCCGCAGCCCCGAACCGCGGCGGGTCCGCCGCCGCCCGCCCGCCCGCCATGTCGGCTCCCGGGACCCTCAGCAATTACTACGTGGACTCCTTCCTGGTGCCGGAGGGGGACGAGCTGGCGGCGCCCCGCTACGCCCCCGCCCCGCTGGGGCCGCCGCCGAGGCCGGCGGCGCTGGCCGAGCACCCCGAGCTGGCCCCCTGCAGCTTCCAGCCCAAGGCGCCCGTCTTCGGCCCCCCCTGGAGCCCCGCGCACCCCGCCGGCGCCAGCGGCGTCCCCGCCGTCTACCACCCCTACGCGCACCACCAGGCGCCCGTGGCACCGCCCGACGGCAGGTACATGCGTTCGTGGCTTGAGCCTGTGCCGGGCTCCTTGTCTTTCCCCGGGTTACCTACCAGCAGGCATTACGGCATTAAACCTGAACCGCTGGCGGCCAGGAGGGCTGACTGTACCACGTTTGACACTCACACTTTGTCTCTCTCTGATTATGCTTGTGGTTCTCCTCCAGTTGATAGGGATAAGCAAAGCCACGAAGGCGCATTCTCTGAAAGCAATGGAGAAAGTGAGGCAAACGGAGAGAAACCGCAGATCGATCCAAGTAAGTGGGACGGCAAGGGTAATGGACTTCAGGGCTCTGCGCCGGCCGCGGGGAGGTGTCGAGGCTCTGGGGCTAATTACGCGGCCGAGCACCGGCCGCTGCCGCCGCCGCTGCGCCAGCCGGCCGGGGTCTGCCATCTGCAGAAGCCAGCGCTGCCTTTCTCAGGTTCGAACGGGATCTAGGACGGCTCTGGCTTTCCAGGGTGAAAGGAAAACAAAAACCCACCCTACAACTACAACTAAAGCAAACATTGGAAAAAAAAAAATTAAAAACAAAAGAGAGAGAGAGAAATGCGGTAGTCGCCCATCCCCACTCCTGCCACCCCAGCAAACTCAGCAGGACGTGCTCACATCCTCCTGCCTCGCCGCGCTCCCAGGCGTGGGCAGCCGCCGGGGAGATGGGTGCCTAGAAAGCACGGGATGTGAATCAGATCTTTTTTTGAGACGGCTCCCAGGACAGGGCGGCTATTGCTGGGCTGAGAACAGAAACCTCGCCGTTGACTTAGTTGCTCCCCTCCCCCTTTCGTCTCCTCGGTGGAAAACCCCGGGCTGGATGCTCCCAGGACTACGAGACTGGTGGCAGAGCGCCTCGGGATTACTATCGCGATTAACGCCATGCGAATAAGGGTCCTAAGAGGGCGAGGGTTCAATTATGCCAGCTGTAGATTAACTCGCCAGCTCCCTAGGTTTTGCCAGGGATGACACAGGAGAAGGTAGAGATAAAAAAGACAAACAATTTCGATGACATGTTGATCTGGCTGGTTACTCCCCGGGCTGGCTGTTTGAGGTGTGGGGAGGCCAAGAAGGAGGAAGTGAGTTAGAGAGCGAGGAAGAGAGAGGAGGAGAAAGTATTTAAAAATTGTATTCTCTCCAAACAATAAAAAAGGCGAGGGGAGGCGGGGGCAACGGGGCTTTGCCGCGTGTGGTTGCGTGTGACCTCCCCATGTGCCTGTATTTTGGAGTCCATTGTGCCTCACGAGCCTCTGTGCCTGGGGAAATGAGAGCCACGTCCTAAACACGAATACCGGGACACCTGATGGGCTGTTTCTGCGTGGATTTCCCTCCCAGCCCCCTCCCTCCACCTCCCACCCTCCCCCTCAGCCTGAACTTCTGTTGTTTTCGTTGTAGATAATCCAGCTGCAAACTGGCTCCACGCAAGGTCCACCAGGAAAAAGCGATGCCCTTACACCAAGCATCAGACCCTGGAACTGGAGAAGGAGTTTCTGTTCAATATGTATCTCACTAGGGACCGTAGATACGAGGTGGCCAGACTCCTCAATTTAACAGAGAGACAAGTGAAAATCTGGTTTCAGAACAGGAGGATGAAAATGAAGAAAATCAACAAAGATCGAGCGAAGGACGAATGATGGTGACACGCGGGTTAAAATTAAAATGCGTAAAGTAAAAGAAAAAAAAAAAAAGAAAAAAGTTAAAACAAACAAAAAAATCATCCCCTCGAGCCCTGCCATGCAATGCGTCTGGGTCCAGGCCTCATTTTTCCCTTGGCAAATTCTGATTATGATTGTACAATGATAGTCACAGAGGCCAGATTGCCAGGAGAGGTACAGTAAGACTTTTAATTTTCTAATAGGAAAGAAAAAGGGGGCATTAGCACGAAAAGGCTGTTTAACTGGCTTGTATAAATCTACCTGTTTCTTCACTTATGGAAAGAAAAAAAAATTATAAAACTACCTTTTCATAATGCACAACTATTTACGGACTGTATAGTTTAGTCTACGTAGTTAATTTTATTCGCTTTTTGCGTGGCAGAGAGATCTCTGCTCTAATACTTGAACACTGTGTTTTATTGTGGTAATTATGTTTGTGACTCAATTTATGTGCTTGGGTGCTGTACCGGATGTAATGGTGTAAGCTAGAATTCAATTTGAACTCAGGTTGTTTATTATAAAAATTGCATAGAGTATAGCTCTGTAGTGTATTAAGTCTTTTCTGTATAATTAGACAGTTAACCTTTGATTGTAAAATATATATATTATATATATCCCAATGCAAAAAAAAAAAAAAAAAAGGTAGAAAAAACCGTTCGTTCGGGATGTCTGGGAATTACGGTTCTCAAAATATGAAGCAAGTAATTTTAGTATGCACAGTTGATACATATATAGTACTGTCGTTGTCGGTTGTATATATAATCTATATATTAAAAAAAAAGTAAATAAACAGACTAGCTTAAATATTGTTTTTGCACCAGTGAGCA